ATTCCATCCTTTCATCGAACTGGTAAGTTTCTGTACATTGGTGGAGCTTTCCGCTCCCGTGAGTGGCTCAAAATCACCGGCTTTGCAGGTGGAGCCCTGCATTTTAAACAGTGGCTTCTCTTTGTGGAGTCTTGCACTCCCCACGGTCTTTGGGCAGCCATTTTGTCACTGCCAGCCGCATAACTGTTAGTGGAGTTTTTCGCGCTCCCTGCCTCTCGCCGCTTGTCGGCCTTTCACCGAGGCATGGCTTTTCTCCAGCAGACTCAATAGAACCACTTCTCAGCTGTTTGAGACTAGCTGCCGGGTTCTGAGTGGAGTCTTTGCGCTCCCTGACTATCACCACTTGTCGGTTCTTTTCCTCCAGGCTCTGATTCTTTCCTGCGGAAATGAACAGAGCTCTGCCCGCTGTCACTATTAACCGCTTCTCAGCTGATTGACCTTGCCACCGGCTTCGAAGTGGAGTTTTCGCGCTCCCTGTGGTTTGCCGCTTGTGGTCACATCACAAGGGCTTGGTGAACTGTAAAATTGCCCTGATTTATTCCTGCTCAGCTCTTTGATTTCTCTTACCGGTCTGCATCTCAGCTGTTTGACATTGCTGATCTGCTCAGTAACAGAGCTTGGTGATCCCTGAGTTGGCAGTTTTGGCTGCCATTTTGTTTAGGGGTGAGGTGACACGTTGAGCTTCTCTCAGGCCTCCAGTCTTTCTGGCTGTCCCTGCTACCCTGGCCTAACCTTGCCTTCAGCCCTTTTGGCAGACATTGCTGCACTTAAGGCTTGGAGTTAATTGCCTTCTCCTTTCTCTGTTGGTGCCTCGCATATTTATCACAGGCTGCATCTAGAATTTGACATTCCCCTGATACAGGACTGCCTTGCTTAACACGGAATCTATTTTCCACTCCTTGGGTGTTATACGGCCTATCATGCCTAAGGTTCTGGCCAAGTCAAAACATGGCCACCAGGCCACAGTAAGGGAGCAGTCAGTTGCTTCCAAGCATAAAGATGCCAAGCACACGCAAGGGGATGGAGTATCCATTAAACCTCAGTCTAAGTTTTCTGCTAGACCCAAAGAAAAGCTTCTACGGAAGCCTGTAGTCAAGGCCAAGGACAGTGGTTCTACATCATCTATAACAGCCAGGGTTTCTCCAGGGGAACGTAGACGTGACCCCTCTCCGACCCCAGATCAGATGTTGCTGCTAGACTTCCTGGTGTCAGTTGAGTCAGCTGATTTATTGGGATCTCCCCCATCTGTGGGGTATCAATGCTGTGGAGTCTAGCACTCCAGCTGGGTGGGGGGTTTATCCACCTGTATCTTATACTCTGGTTTGAGCCTCTATGGAGGCCAGCCCAGCCCGAGACCATGATTCTACCCCTTTACATCCAGAGGACATTCAATGTATGATTGCAGCAATGGTGCAACAATCCCTATCGGCTCATTCCTTTTCGACTGCCAGACCAATTACAGTGTATTTGGTCCATTCGGACCATTTGGCTTCGCGCAGATGGTGGTGGTCTCCAGCCAGTTCTAGGGGCTGCCTTTTCTTTGAACCGCAATGGCTGGTGATTATGACTGATGCCAGCATGCTTGGCTGGGGAGCCCACTGTCTAGGTCAGGTGGCCGAGGGCACTTGGTCGACACCCGAGTCATCATTAAACATCAACTGGCTCGAGTTACATGCAGTTTATTTAGCCCTTCGACCCTTTCAACATCTAGTGTCCGGATCTCATGTCTTAGTTCTTACAGATAATGTGACGGCAAAGGCGCACATTAATCGCCAAGGGGGCACCAGGTCCAGAGCCCTTATATGGGAGGCCAAGAGATTGGGTTTCTGGGTGGAGCGCCGGCTGGCTTCTTTGAGGGCAAAACACATATCAGGGGAATCTGGATAAGCCGACAACTAATTGATCACGCAGAGTGGCGTCTGAATCCTCATTTGTTCCAGGTCCTGTCCTCCCGGTTCGGCACTCCAGTGCTCGATTTGTTCGCATCGCCAATGAACTCCCAACTTCCACGATTTTTCATGAGATTTCCAGCACACCAGGCGGAGGCTGGGGATGCTCTGCGCTCCCGTTGGCCCCACGGGTTGCTTTATGCATTCCCTCCAATATCCCTCATCCCGAGGGTTCTGCAGAAACTCATACAGGAACAAGCGGAGTTGCTCCTTCTAGCTCCACACTGGCCGCGAAGGTCATGGTTTGCCGACCTTCTGCAGTTGCCGGTGCCTTCCCCCTGGAGACTTCCCTGCCCGTGGATTGCCTATCTCAAGGGGGCGATACTGCTCCCGGATCCCCAGTGGTTGCAACTGACCATTTGGAGATTGAGTGGGACGCGCTGCTGCGTGACAATCTCCCGGCCACGGTCATAAAGACCATTCAGGTGTCTAGGTAAATACGGACCGTATTTACTCAGCCACTTGGCGGGCTTTTTCTACTTGGTGTAACCTGCACGGCGTTTCTCCCATCCGGGCCTCCATAGTTCAAGTTCTCATGTTTTTGCAGGACGGCTTAGACAAGGGTCTCTCTCCCAATACTCTCCGACGACAGGTGGCAGCTCTCACTTCAGTCCTAACCTACAGCTCCCTTCCTTCGTTGTCACAGGAGCCTTTGATTCGTCGCTTCCTCAGAGGAGCCTCTAATTTATGCCTGCTGGTGTTACATAGGTACCCTACTTGGGACCTTTCTATTGTTTTGACTTCTCTCACAGGTGCACCGTATGAGCCATTGAAATCTACCAGCCTGCGGCTTCTGTCTTGCAAGGTGGCCTTCCTAGTGGCGATTATGACAGCTAGGACGATTTCGGAAATTGCAGCGTTATCGATGAGTAGCGACTTATGTGTCTTCCATGCAGATCGTGTGGTCCTAAGGCTAGATCCTACTTTTGTTCCTAAAACTAACTCTGTGTTTCACCACATAGGAACTTATTCTTCCAGACTTTTGCCCTCACCCAACCACTTTGTCAGGCAAGAAGTGGCACAAGTTGGATGTCCGGAGAGCTCTCCGGATATACCTCAACAGAACGGCAGCGATCCGGCATTCGGAGTCCTTGTTTGTATCCTTCCTTCCTGTTTCCTTAGGTTCTAAGGTATCCTCATCTACCATCGGTCGCTGGATTCGCCAGACGATTGCTACTGCCTACGAGCTTCGCTCTTCTCCTTTACTGGCAAGGTTGATGGCGCATTCAACATGCAGCGCAGCAACATCCGCGGCCTGGGCCACGCAAGCGTCATGAGTGGACATTTGCAGAGCGGCAACCTGGACTTCTCCTTCTCCTTTTGTTAAGCGTTATAAGTTGGACAGGTTTGCCCCACAGGAGGCAGCCTTTGAACGTAATGTGTTACAAAGGGTTATTGCGGGAGGAGAGTCATTGGCCCAGACTGAGCCCTCCCTTGCCTAACACTGTGAACTTGGGTATGTCCCAAGCATGGCTGCTGTCTCCACTCTCAATGGAGAAGGGGCGTTGGTCCTACCTGACACGCTCCTTCTCATTGGGTGGAGACAGCAGCCATCCCCACCCGTTTTCAATCTGGGTCTTTGGGGTATTGTTTTTTTCTCTTTCTGGTACTCTTCACAAATGTCTCTGCCACACGACGAGCCTGTTTCCTTCCGTCTTCACCAAAAGCTGGGATCCCTGGCAACAGAGGCGGGACTTGTCAAATTTTACAGGCTCAGTCCTCCAATCTGATCGTACGAGTCACTACCCAAGCATGGCTGCTGTCTCCACCCAATGAGAAGGAGCGTGTCAGGTAGGACCAACGCCCCTTTTCAGTGTATAATAGAATAAAACTATTTTTAGTGTCTGAACTGGCAATGATGTGGGATGACCGAATAATCCTAATATATTGAGACAGAAGATCTACATTCTTTCTGTGACAGCATAGGAGAAAATTCAGGTATAAAATTCTACTGGGCCTATTTCTCCTTCATGCATAGATGGTACTCCATCATCTCAGCGTCAGAAGACCCAAAGCCACTGCCCTTTATAACCTGCCTTGTTAAAAGAATCATGGAGGTTTCTTCTTCCCAAAGTCTGTTGGGCCTGGTTCAGCACATTACCATTATAAAGAAAGCAGAACTGTAGGGATCCCTCCAGGAAGGAATTCTATTTCAAAGAGAAAAAAAAAATATTTCAAAGGAGGCTTGCAAGCAACGAGATGCTGTTGTTGATGTCATTTTGTGACTTAACAATCTTCCTTCCCATTTCAGGCTCCTCTGTTGCATGAATGTGATTGCTACTGATTGCCTAAACCTGATTTCTATCAGCAGTGCCAGCAAGTAGAATGGCCCCTGACCTTCAGTTCCACTACAAATACACACCTTACTTTTGTTTTCTCTAATAACTGAAAACTTGTCTGAATTATAACACTAGGCTCAAAGAAACAATATCCCTCCACCCTCTTCTTTCTCTCTTGCTCTTCAAAATCTTTGAAGTAAACATAGCATCTTTAGAAAATGAAGTACACAGGCAAGGTTGTATCACTCATATTTTCAACTTTTAGCTGGTCTTCAGAAAGAAAGAAAGAAAAAACTGCATTGGAAATACTTCATGAATGGACGAAGTCAGCAGATGCTAGAGAAATTGATTTGCTAAAACTTTATCCCTTTCTAACTAAGACTGAAAGCTTTAATTGGTTCAACTGGTAGATTAATCAATTAGAGTGTTAACTGGTGAATGAGGTAGGAGGAACTAAATGGGTGATGACAAATTTTAATTGAGTGGCTGAATATTAAGACATACTTGCATACTTTTAAGCAAATTTGTTTCTTGGGTGGGATATAAAAAGAAAGAAATGCTAAAAATAAATTTTGCTTCTTGCAATGAGCAGAAGTATTTTTTAATTCCTTTTTTCTTGTAGCCTATTTCAAAAAATAAAAATAAAAGCAAAGCTTTTATTAATATTTTTCTGGATAAATGAATCTATATTTTTTTTATTTCTTTTTAAATCACATTTTATGTGTTTCATTTGTGTATGTGTATCTGTGTGTAAATATATATAAAATTAAGGGGATGTTTTTTTTTTCTTACTTCATATTAATTTGCTGGTTCTAATGATCCCTTTTATCCAGGATGTAAAATTTATTTAAAGATACCAATATCTTACAGGATTATTGAAAAAAAAACACACACAGTATACTTTCATTTCTATGTGCTTTTAGCAGCAAACAAGTTCTGACTTCAGACACTGGAATCCTATGCCTGACATTCTCTTTTCTGGCTCCGTTTTATTTGCAGCCTTATTTTGTATTTGCATTGCATTCTGTCCAGAGTGCTACAGCAACAGCTGCCATCTAAAGGCCAAGGTAAATGGAAATATAATAGCATAATTTATTTGATATATTTGATTTAAAATATTTTAGGCTCCCTTTAATGTAGCACTCTCCCTTAATAGCATGCATTTTAAAATAAACAATAAAACACAGCAATAGAACTGGATAAAATGGCAATTTAAATAAATCCAGCAGCCCAAACTTATGACTCAAAAACAAAAAAACAAAAACAAAAACAAAACAAAACAGCAAGAATCCAGTTAAAACCGTGTGAATAGAATAGCTGCAAGGTTGGCAAAAAAAAAAAAAAAAAGGATAAAGATGACTGTGGAGGGGAAGGAGGTATCTTAATCCTTTCTTTTTTGTTGCTTCAATAACAGTTATCTCTCTAAAACTGATAGTAGCATTCAAAAGAAATATGTTCTTTGGGCTAAATAACAGTTTGAACCATGAGAGAAGCAATCTATCTTGGAACCATAGGAAGTGTAGGAGATAGGATAGGTATATGCATTTTTATGTATATGTACTTTTATGTATATGTACAGATATATAAAGAGAGAAAGAGAGCTCTGTGTGTGTATGAGAGGGAGGGAGGGAGGGAGGGAGGGAGAGAGAGAGAGAAAGGGAGGGAGGGAGAGAGGGAGAGAGAGAACACGTCTCTGTAGTTTAAAGATGTATGCAAGAAACATACAGGAATTGAGGATCCCTTAAATATTTTCCCCTAAGGTGGGGCTATAGGAGTGATGGTGGCTGGTTCGCCCCGGTTCAGGAGAACCGGTAGTGGTGGCAGTGGGAGGATATCATCACGGATGCTCTGAGCATGCACAGAAGGTTCTACGCATGCGCAGAAGTGCCACAAGCGCGCTCACAGTTCCGAACCGGTAGTGAAGGTAAGTGGAACCCACTACTGGGATATAGAGTATCAATGGATGGATTCATTTATCATTGTGTATCAGAATATTCCCCACCACCTTTAAAGAAGTGATCATGTATTCCTTTCTTGGGAAAACTGGGGGGAAATCCACATTCAAATACCCTGTTCTTGATTAAAGTACAGGAGAGGATGACAGTAGCATTCAATACAGAGACTTGAGAATTATATGGACTTAACAATAAATAAACAAGATCAACACCATTATCAGTAAACAGTGATGTGGACCTGGGAAGCCATGACACATCCTATATATAAGTTTCAACACTCTCCGCATTTCCGCCATGCCTGCAATCCTAGAAAAATAGGCTGTAGTTTGGAGGGGAAGCTTATTTCTGTCATGATAAGATTAACAGAAAACACTCTATTGTTTTGGATTGTCATTTGACTTTTTTCCTCTAAATTAACCAATTTACAGAACAAAGAAATAATCAAGTTCACTTTCAATCTCTCTTTTGTAGTTCTCCTTCCTGTTCTTAAAAAAACAGAACAAATTTGGTGGGAGGGGGCTTCTAAAGGGATGCTGGTGGTCTTCATGAGATTGATTGGATTGATTTTTTTTTTTTTTTTGTCCATGTACTAGAAGGACAATTCCCACTAGTGGGATATATTTGTGAAGTAAGAAATAATTATTCTGGATGTTCGGATATCCATGAAGCTGTAATATATGCTCCAAATAACTTGCTAAGATGCTTTCTTTACCTTGTTTTACCATTTCAATCTGTAGAGATGGATATTCAGAACTTCCCGAAAATACAGATTTGGAACAGATGCATCACTTTGTCTAGATAATGTGTGCATGTATTCCAGTTCAAACACTCAGAGTGAGAATTACCTTGCAAGCTTGGATCCTTATCAAAATCCAATTGGAGGCTGAGCTGTATTTACAGAATGTGGATGATAATGGCCTTGGTTTTTCATGCCATCTCACTGGTGTGCTTCAGCATGACCTTGTCAAAGTTAAAAGCTCATAAAATTCTATTTATTTTTTATGGCATTATGATTCTGTGTAACAGGGCTTAAAACAAAAACACAGTATAATTATACTGTCGATCAAACAACTAAGAAAGGCATTTTTCCACCAGCTTTGCACCTAGCAAACTGTAAATAATTAATAAAACTAGAGGCCATGACTAAGTGGAAGCGTTGGGGGGCTAGTTAAGCATTTGTCATCACTCTGGTTAAAGCAACTCATACACAGCTCTGACTGTTTACTTTTATCCTGTGAGTACAAAAATAGTTGTTTGTTCTTATTGGATTGCCATGCATGAGCCTAATAAAAAGCTCAAGCTGTCAACAGCACTATGAACAGGTGTACAATGCGTACTTATTGTTTAATTCATCTGACTTTCCAGCCCATTTAGCTTACGACAAATAAAAACAAAAATATTTTCTTCATTATCTCCAATTAATGTAAATGTCAAACATGGTGAATATATTAGCATGTGTATAATGCATTGTGTATTGATGTGGCAGATTTCTTGCAATAAAGTGACTTTTTCTGAATATAATCCAGTGTATGCTCTTATCTGACCATATACCATGTGGTGCTAAGCAAACATCTTTGTACTATATTGCTGTCAACACTAAGTAAACTATTCATGATAACCTCAAAATGCTATTTTGATTTAAGCAGGGAGTCCTTGGGATTGATTTAATGTTTAAAATAAAATGATTTTTTAAGAGTTCTAAACAATATTTAAGATCATACTTAGAAGTCCAATATATATTTTTTTTATCGTTTTTTGATCAATTTGCAAGTTGATAATACCTTTTAACAGATTAACAGAGTTGGAAGGGACCTTGCAGGTCATCAAGTCCAACCTCCTGCCTAAACCTACATCTGCCTCTACCTAGAATCGAACTCACAACCTCCTGATTGTGAGGCAAGAGCTCCACCTCTAGACCACAGCAGCTAGGAACCATGTAGAATTTCTCCAGGATGACCTGTTCCTTCAGGCTTTCCTGTACATGAAAATTTTGATAAAAAATAAATATTAAAATATATAAAGAAAAATTAAGAAGGTAAAAGCAAAAAATGCAAAAAGCAAATCACTTAGGAAAATAATAAAAGAGAAATCAATAAGTAGCTTCCAATCTTCTTGCAGCAGCTACAAATTTATTATCACTCCTCCCTCTTTAAAATTACAGAGATCCTTTTTGTCCCATATTCAACCATTTTTTTTCAATCAGCAAATCCAGGGCCATCATTTCACTTCATTCCATTTTCAGAAAAAGGTCCAAAAAGGATTTCTAGTCTTTTATAAAAGTACTTATTATCCCTAACAAGACATTTCTATCTTCAATTTTGCCATTTCTGCTACTACAGCCATCTTTACAATCCATTATAGATATTTCAGTGTTTCTCCATCTCCTTCATTCATGTGTTCATTAATCTTCCATAAGTCTTATCTAATTGATTGTCCATAAATAATCCTCCTCCTTCTCCTCCTCCTCCTCTTCCTCTTCCTCTTCCTCTTCTTCTTTTTCTTCTTCTTTTCCTTCCTCCTCTTCCTCCTCCTCCTCCATACTTGTTTGTGTATACACTGCATTCAGAAAGTATTCAGACCCGCTTCATTTTTGTCAATGTTGTTATGCTGCAGCCTGATTCTACAGTTGTTGAAATTCATTTTTTTCTATTTAATATACAATCAGTATCCCATAATGACAAAGTGAAAACAGAATTTTATTAAAAAGAAAAAACTGAAATATCACATTAGCATAAGTGTTGAAACCCTTTTCAACAACACTTGAAATTTAGCTCAGGTGCCTCCCATTTCTCTTGATCGTTGCTAACATGTTTCTACACCTCGATTGGAGTCAACCTGTGGTAAATTAAATTGATTGGACATGATTTGGAAAGGCATACACCTCTCTATAGCAGGCCTCAGAGCTGATAATACACAGTGTAGTGGAGCAAAAGCCATGGGGTCAGAGAAACTGTCTGCAGAGTTCAGAGACACGATTATTGTAAGGCACAGATCTGGAGAGAGCTATAATAAATTTTCTGGTGCACTGAAAGAGCACAGTGGCTTCAATAATTCTCAAATGGAAGAAGTTTGGAACAACCAGGACTCTTCCAAGAGCTGGTCATCTGGTCAAATGGAGCAATCAAGAGAGAAGGGCTTAGGAAGAGAGGTGACCAAGAACCCGATGGTCACTCTGACTGAGCTCCAAAGATTCTGTGTGAAGATGGGACAGAGTTCCAAAAGGACAACCATCATTGCATCCTTCCACCGATCTGCAGTGGCAGAGTGGGTAGATAGAAGCCTTTCTTCAGTGCAAAACACATGAAAGCCCATTTGGAGTTTGCAAAAAAGCACCTGAAGGACTCTCAATCCAATATTATCCCAACAGTGAAGCATCGTGGTGGCAACCCCATGCTATGGGGGTGTTTTTCACCATCAGGGACTGAGAGACTGGTCAGGGTTGAGGGAAAGCTGAATGAAGCAATATACAGGGATATCTTCCTAAATCTGTTCCACAGTGCTCAGGACCTCAGGCAGGGCTGAAGGTTCACTTTTCAACAATCCTAAACACACAGCTAAGACAGGAATGGCTTAGTGACAACTCTGTGAATGTCCTAGAGTGGCCTAGCCAGAGCTCTGACTTGAACCTTACTGAACAACTCTGGAGGACCTGAAAATGGTTGTGTACTGACGGTTGCTATCCAACTTGATTGAGCTTGAGATGATTTGCAAGGAAGAATAACAGAAAATCCCCCAATCCAATGTGCAAAGCTTGTTGCATTATACTAAAAACACTCAAGTCTGTAATTGTTGCCAAAGGTGCTTCAACAAAGTACTGAGTGAAGGGTTTGAATACTTATGTCAATGTGATATTTCAAGGGTTTTTTTTTTCTTTTTAATACATTTACAGACATTTCTTGCTTGCTTGCTTTCACTTTGTCATTATGTAGATTAATGAGGAAAAAAAATGAATTTCAACAACTGTAGAATCAGGCTGCAGCACATCAAAATTGACAAAAGTGAAGGGGGTCTGAATAATTTTCTGAATGAACTGTATATTCTTTTCCATAAGTCCACTGTTTCCCATTTGCAGCATTGACCAGAAATACATTTATATATCTTAGATAATTTCTCAGTGTTCATCATTTTCTAAAAATTATTTCTGTCCTTCAGGTTTTCCAGTAGTATGTTCCTTGCTATTATAATCAATTTTATCCATCTCACTATTTTGTTTTCTTTACTCAACGTATCCAAACTCTGACAAATTGAGCCTGGTCATTCATGCCTCAAGTGAGAACATGGATTGACTTATTCTATGAAACACTGCTTGTTTTCTTAGGTACTGTTAGTTTTTTAGTTTTTTCATACTCTTCTTGAGTATCAAACTGTCAATACTCTTTATCTCCTGCTTTGTCAAGGTCCAATTTCTGATTCTATAGAATGTCACAGAGAAACCAGTGCCTTCACAATTTAGATTTTGTAAATTTAGATAATTTAAAACCTTTATTGTTACCATACCAAGTGTTAATCTGCAGCATATTTTTCATTACCTTTTTCTTTACTGTTCATAGTTGATCCTATAAAGGAGAAGCTATTCATTACTTCACTATCCACATAGTCACTTCAAAGATTGATTGTGGTAACTGCTATTAGTTTAGTTTTTATATTTATTCTTAGCCTTGTTTTTAGTATGCCCCTTTAATTACTAGATCTTGTAGATTGTTTGAATTTTCAACTATTAGAGAAGCATCTTTAGCATAGTGCAAGTTATTAAAATTTCTTACTCCAGTTTTAAGATACTGATTTTCTGCCCTCAATATATATATTCAGCATATAGGCTCAATAAATAAGACAAGAAGCTTGTCTTTTCTTTCCTGATGTGGAATCAGTTTGTTTTGCCATGTTTCATCCAGACTAGGGATTCTCTGGTGTAGGAGTTGCATGAGGACAATGAGATCTTTTGGAATTCCCATTTTCCCATTTCCTCAATTTGACATGGTAGAAACAATTGAAGGCCTTTCTATTGTCCATAAAGCAAATATTGACTGCTTTGGGGGCATTATTTGGCTTTATCAATTTTACATAATTCCTCAGAAATAATGCTTAATAATGCTTTTCTAAAGCTAATTTGAACTAGTTTAGAGATAAGATCATCTAATGAAGTTTAGAGCCCTACATGAAAAGAAAGATGAAACCTGTGCATTATTTTTCTACTCTTGAATTGAAAGACCATGTACAATAGTTTATACATTCTATTTAGACGTTTTGTTTTTGTTTTATATTGATATGTGGACTCAATCCTGCCAACCTGTTGGCCACTGTGTAATTAACCAGATTGACAGACATTATTTATTTATAAATAAATTTATTTAAATTTATTAAATAATAAATTATTAAAATTTATTTAATATAAATTAATTTATATTAATTATTGTTTTTTTTTCTTTAGATACTACATCAGTTCCTCTAATCTTCCAATTTGGTAGTGACTTGAGTTCTGATTAAGCTTATTTTTTTTTAGTATTAGAGCACAATTAATTGGCTCAAATCTCTGTATAATATTTGTTTTGAAAGAGCCCTTCAAAAATGAATTTGTAACCCAAACATTTATTGACTAGTAATAATACAAGGCTTAGCTATGGAAGAAACAGGGGAGGAATGTGTAAAGGAATTTCAAATAGGAAAAAAAATCTATTAGTGAAGAGGACATGCTTGAAATTATTCTATTTCTCTACCACAGGTTAGAGCAAGCTGTTTCTCATAGTAAAGCTTTAATGCTTCATGAGCACATTGAAAAGCTAATCCAGGAATGCTTAAATATGCCAAGTTGATACCTCTGAAAAGGGAACCATTATACAGTTCATATGTGTGTAGAACAAAATAAAAGAGGAAAAAAGTCTACAGTGTGCTGTGATGATATGGGGTTTTGGCAGACGTTCCTGTCTTTCCTTCCTGATGCAGGTTTTCAAGCTAAATCCATAATGCACAAATTTAAAGGAACAAACAGCAGTCTGAAACAGCAAAAATAATAATAATAATAATAATAAACTCACATCTGTGCAAAAGATAGATTTAGTTCACTAGATTTCAATGAAACATAATGGTCCGAATGAAGCAACTACAGAATATTAAGTGTGTAAAGTGCTCACTGGTTTGCTTTTCTCATAACTGGAAAGAATGACAACCTTGAGTTTATTCTTAATTTACCATTCTGGCATGTAGAAATGTTAAGAATAACAATTAAAAAGTGTGAGTAGGCAGTGATAAACCAAGTATCTGTTTCAATACCAAAAACCAATTTCAATAAACTCAAAGTGCTAACAGAGCAAGGGTGAAATTCAACAGATTCTGGCACGTTCTGGAGAACCGGTAGCGGGAAGTTTGAGTAGTTTGGAGAACTGGCAAATACCATCTCTGGCTGGGTGGGAATGGAGATTTTGCAATATCCTTCCCCCAGGAGTGGGGAGGGAATGGGGATTTTGCAGTATCCTTCCCCTACCATGCCCACCAAGCCATGCCCACCAAGTCACACCCACAGAACC